GAACTTCTTATCCACGTGGATCTCCCACACACACTGGATGTCTGTTGGGTAGTTTTCTGGATACAGCGGACTGGAAAATGAGCCAGAGAGACTAGAAATGACCCCTCCACAAGAGTTCCTTTCTCCTGAAACAGCAGGAAAAAGGATGTCAGGATATGTCTCCATGGCGTCACTTATGTCATCCCACTAAGGACCTGGGGGAGTCAGGCTGCAGTCTGAATTAACAGATCTGTAGCCTAAGCATCTTCCGGGAAGGAGAGCCTATTCAGTCTAATTGTGATGGGTCAGAACACACTGGGAGAAGGAAATGTCAACCTACTCCAGTATTCTTGCCTGGAGAATCCCAGGGACAGAAGGGCCTGGTGGGCTGCCGTTTATGGGGTTGCACACAGTCGGACACGACTGAAGCGACTTAGCAGCAGCAGCAGCGGAATGCACTGATGAAAGAGCTCCCCGCCCTCTTCCCTCTGTCATCCAATGGGGAAAATATTATCTCTGTCCTGTTGACTCTTTCTAAAGTGGAAGGTCTCACTTGCTGGGAGACAGGTGGAGCTGATTGGCTTGAGGGTTTGGGAAAGAGAGGCAGAGACAGAGATGGAGCTGTACATGGTGGGGAAGGGGTGACTCAGGAGCTGAGGGCCTGAGGAACTGAAGACAAAGGGGGTGGTGTGGACTGTTCTGGGAGGGTGTGACTGGGACCTCCCTTTAACTACCTTTTCACCACTTTTTCTGGGTAGGTTGTCTTTCCTTCAGCTCCATATCCATTGAGACTGGCGCTTATAGGTTTTGGATTTTCAAGAATTAAACAAGTGAAATCTAACTCTTCCATTCTGCTTGTCACATTATATAACTATACACACACACAAACATATAAATTTGAAACAGCACACCACACAAAAAAAGCAGAAAACTTCAAATCATCAAATTATTTTGGAGGAAATCTGAAAGCATAACATTTTATTGACCTTGTACCCAAATTATGAAGATGCTGAACTTTCTTCTTTCTCCCCTGAACACCTTGTAATCCTCCCAGAATCTCACAGATTCCTGGTCTTTCCTGCGATGGAGGGTGGGAAGTGGTGAGGGACACAGCCAGCCCAGGGAGCTAGTGTGGACTGCTGTTTGTAGGTTACAAACATCAGACTGACGCTAAAACCCCCAGGACTGGGTTTCTCGAAGCCTCTACACACTACTTTGCCAACAAAGGCCTGTCTAGTCAAGGCTATGGTTTTTCCAGTGGTCATGTATGGATGTGAGAGTTGGACCATAAAGAAAACTGAGTGCAGAAGAATTGATGCTTTTGAACTGTGGTGTTGGAGAAGACTCTTGAGAGTCCCTTGGACTGCAAGGAGATCCAACCAGTCCATCTTAAAGGAGATCAGTCCTGACTATTCATTGGAAGGACTGATGCTGAAGCTGAAACTCTAATATTTTGGCCACCTGATGCGAAGAGCTGACTCATCTGAAAAGACACTGATGCTGGGAAAGATTGAGGGCAGGAGGAGGAGATGTCAGAGGATGAGATGGTTGGATCGCATCACTGACTCAATGGACATGAGTTCGAGTAAACTCTGGGAGTTGGTGATGGACAGGGAAGCCTGCCGTGCTGCAGTCCATGGAGTCGCAAAGAGTCGGACGCGACTGAGCGACTGAACTGAACTGAACTGAACTACACATGGCAGGCGGTGATGGGCTGGTACCTGTTGCGGGTTCCTATTACAGGACTGTGCCCATAGGACGCAGGCTGAGAATGGGCAGATGGACTGAGCCACATTTTCTTCGAGTTCCTTGTCACCCTCCTGCCTATTCTGATCTGGGCGGATCCACACGCCCCTTCCCAACGGCTGCTTTAGTTAAAAAGTCAGCACTTCCAGGCATCGGCGGTACTGATGCCACGCCCCTCAGCGCGGTGGGGGCGGGGCGTGTGAGGACAGAGCTGGTCCTGGGCTGAGTCCTGGGCTGAGTCCTGGCCGCCCCACCTTCTGCTGGGAGGGGCTGCGGCGGGTGTAGCTTGGGCAGCAGAGGCAGCCCCTCACCCACACTAAGCCAGCCTTTGTGCCCCGTCCTGGGCACACCGCCTAGCATTTCCTCTGGTGGTTCTTTTGGAATAGAGTTACCATGTCAGTTTAAAACAAGCGGCTACCTGTTACATGATCCTGAGACGCTGTGGAAAGACCTAGAAGGAAAAAAAAAAGGGAGATAATGCTGACATCAGGAGAATTAGTCTCATCTACAAGTTAGCAAAATGTAAAGGGTTTCCTTAGAAATGTCCACGTACATAGGGCAAATGGAGAAAAGTGTGAAGGTGCTGACTGAATGTTCTCTACGGTCCTGGGGCAGGCTAAAGAAGGCTACAGGTTCTGGTCAAGGGGTGGGGTCTGGTCCCCTCCCTGGAGCCTGGGTGGGCTCTGTGGAAGCTCAGACCAGCAGAATATGGCAGAAGCTGTGCCATAAGAAAGACTGGCAGCTTCCACTTCCTGTCTCTGGGTGCTCATGGCACCCTGAGCCACTCTGTAAGAAGTCTGATTCCCCTGCTAGAGAGGCCCTGTAAAGAGGCCCTGAGACCACCTGGAGAAGAAGCAGGCCCTTGGCTGAGCCGCCACCAGGACCCCAGGTGTGACAGTGCATCTGTCCTGGACTCTCCAGAGCAGCCACTGGGTAAGCCTGCTCTACACTATGTGGAGCAGAAGACTCTCCCAGCCAAGCCCTGCCCCAGGTCCTGACCCACCAAACCGCGGCTTATAATTCAGTAGTTGTTGCTTTAAACCACTGCATTTTAGAGCAGGAGAGGAGCAGGATGGCTCCTTTCATGCAGTATGGTGGTGATGGTTTAGATGCTAAGTCGTGTCTGACTCTTGCAAGTCCATGGACCGTAGTCCACCAGGCTCCTCCGTCCATGGGATTTTCCAGGCAAGAATACTGGACTGTGTTGCCATTTCCTACTCCAGGGGATCTTCCCGACCCAGGGATCGAACCCAAGTCTCCTGTATTGCAAGTGGATTCTTTACCACTGAGCCATCATTCATGCACTATGGTCTTCCCCATTTCCTCATCATCCATGTAATTTTCAGTTTAGCTGAATTATATAAATGGGAAAACTACAGATGAGGCTTTATTTGAATACCCACTGCCCTTGACCCCAGCGCTGGCCCTTTAACTTCAGATGACTTTTCTCCTCTCACTCACAACCCCAACACATAAAGCTGGTCTCCCCCAGCAATACACAGAACACATTCAGGTCTTCTTCAGGCAGATGACCAAGTCAGATGCTCCTGCTAATGACTTGTGCCCTGTGGTGTTGTCTGAGGGTGTGTGCAGACAGGATTCAAAGGGTGAGAGATGGGGCTTAAAATTCCAGTTTTACTACTTTCTAACTGAGTTATCCTGGGTAGGTTTCTTGATCTCCCTAATCCTTAATTGTAGGGATTAAATAAGTGAATATATTCAGAAACCCTAGCATCAGGCCTGCTGCTATGTAGATGCTTAGGGATGTCTGTTGCAATGAAACAAAACGCCTTTCCATTACCTTCAGCATCATTTCAGAATCATCACATCATGTGGTGTCTGACTTTTCCAATCTTTGGGTTTTATTATAGAAGAATATCATTCAATCATTAACTTAAAAAGTCTTTGAAAACAAGCAAAAGATTCCCAAGAGTATGTACTTTGGGGTCAGACTGATTAGTATCAAAGCTTAGTCCCCACATTAACTTGAGTGATCCTAGGAAAGTTACTTAACCTCTCTGCATCTCAAATTACTCTTTCTGTGAAAGAATATTTAAAATGCCTTTTTGCAGGTTTCCCTGGTGGCTCAGATGGTTAAGAATCCTCCTCAAATACAGGAGACCTGGGTTTAGTCCCTGGGTCAGGAAGATCCTCTGGAGAAGGGAATGCCTACCCATTCCAGTATTCTTGCCTGGAGAATTTCATGGACAGAGGAGCCTGGTGGGCTACAGTCTGGGGCTGCAAAGAGTCAGACATGACTGAGAGATTAACAGTTTCACTTCCTGAAGATTAAAGTAGTATCCTGAGCTAAACATCTCCCCTTTTTTGTGTTAGTTTTTGCTTGGTCTTTGTGTAGTTGGGGCCAATGAACAGATGTGGTATATTAGATTGGTGGTCAAGAGGCTTGACACCTGTGGTTCAAGTCCACTGGCTACCCCTGGGTACGTTACTAATTTTGTGTCTCAGTTTACCTATCTGGAAAATGGGAATAATCAAATAACTTACTTTAAGAGATTATTGTGCAGATTAAGTAAGTTACATAGGTATAAGGCCCCAAAACAGTGCCTGAAAGCATTTATAAGTATTTGATGTTATTATTATTAAGTTGCCTGAACAAGAAAAAATATGGACATACCTGGAGGTGTGGGAGGAGGCAGGTCTTTTGAATCTGAATGCACAAAGAAAGACAACAGGTCACTCTCTTTAGTGAATCCAGTTTGGAGGAGGTAGGGTAACAAGGGGGCAGGTGGGGATGAAGTGGGGAGGACCATGGTCTTTTTGGGCCCAGTACTCAGAATGCTGCTCCTGGGTAACTCCAGTCCTCCTCCAGCAGGGTCCTTGGCCTTGGAGGCTGGGGTAGAGCCTCTAGGTCAACTCTGCCCCCCGCTCACCAGGGCTGGATTACCCATGGCCCCTCTTTTGCAGGATCACCTGGATCATCTGTTAAAATGCAGATTCCAGCGTCCCTTCCCAAACCTAGTTGATCACCATCTCTGGGGGTGGGGTGGGGTCCAGGATTCAGCAAGGCGAGGCTGTGGGGGTGCCAGTTCACACTAACATTCAAGGCCTCCCAAGTGCAACTGGGGGCTGCCCGGGGTAGGGTGTGTGCCTGGGCCCAGCGCCTGGCACACAGTGGGCACTCATGGATTGGCTGACAACCGAATGAGCAGATGGATGGATGGATCGATGGTTGAAAAATTCCACCTGGGATGCAAAGTTTCACAACGTCTTCAACCACAACATCTGAAATTGTAGCCTGAGAGAGGGGAGGCTACCTGAGCAGATGACCCCGGCATCCTCGTGGTGGCCACAGTTGTGCTCCGACCAGCCCGAGTGGGCACACTGGCCCAGGTAGCGCTCCGCCCCGGCGCACTGCAGGTTGTCCAGGAAGATGTCTCCAGAGCCCGGGCCAAAGTGGGCCTTCCCGAGGGCGGACACGGCCTGACCGCACCTCAGCTGCCGGCACACGACCTCGGCTTCGTTCAGGTCCCACAGGTCATCGCACACGGTGCCCCAGGCCCCATGGTGCAGGACCTCCACACGTCCTGAGCACCGACCTGAGCCGCCCACCAGCCGCAGCTTCGGCCAGTCCCCTGCAGACAGAGAGGGGCCTGTGAGTCCCCAGGAGACCCTCGGAGGCCAGCGGGACGATGCGGGCGTGCAGGGATGCGCCCTGTCTTGACCCCTGGGGCCTGTCCCTCGTGTTTCTCATGTGTGTCTGAGTTGCGTGCAGACTGCGGGGCCTTCAGTCAGTGTGATGTCATGTCAGCAGTGTTCGAAGTGAAACTGACTGCCTTTCCCGTTACGCTCTGATGATACGGCTGTAAATCAAAGAGGCATGGCTCCTGCCTCAGGGAGCCATGCAGTCTATTTGTTAGTCAAACACAGACGCGAGTGTAATGCTTTCTCACATCAGTACAAGGCCGTGAAAAGACGAGAGTGCTCTCAAGAGAGTGATGGGGAGTGGCTGCAAGACTCCTCTTAAAACACTGAGAAAGAGCCGGTCAAGGACAGTCAGGGAAATGCCTCTGAGTGAGGGGAAAAGTTTTTGCAAAAGGTCCTTGAAGTGCCATGTCACGCCTGCACATATGTGTCTCTAACACACACACAGGGACATCATCACCTGTAACAATATCAAAAGGAGTAATTCCAAATAACACTTTTAAATGGCATCTTAAAGCCATGAAAGTATCATCAGCTTAGACAAAGAATGAACTGAGTCCAGAAATAAATCACAAACAGCTGATATTCAAGTCCCATCAAAAAAAAGCCGTGACCTACCTGAGCTACTAGATGAGTCTCCCGCATCTGTTTATGCAGAGAAAAAATATGTCAGTCTTTTTCTGAAATCCTGACTTTTATAACCAACAGCAAAGATTCTCCTTACATCCTTATAAATGATTATTCATCTGATATGGGAAAAATGAGTCCCTGGAAAGACCATAGCACTTGGAGAAATGGATTCAGCTATAGACCTAGGAAGCTTCTTGCTGGTGGTTGGTTGGCTACTGTGCTTTGAGAAAATGGTCAGATGGATGGGCACATTTGGGATGATATGACCTAGACTCCTGATTTTGTAGCAGATGAATTTCACATTGGGGGCATCTCATGGTAGCTCAGATGGTAAAGAATCTGCCTGCAATTTAGGAGACATGCGTTCAATTCATGGGTTGGGAAGATGCCCTGGAGAAGGGAATGGCTATCCACTCCAGTATTCTTGCCTGGAGAATCCCATGGACAGAGAAGCCTGGCGAGCTATAGTCCATGGGGTCGCAAAGAGTCAGACACGACTGAGCGACTAACACTCCACACTTCATATTTGTACATTCTCCAGAACATTGAAACTTAGGAATAAAAATCACTCCATGAGGCTATAACTGGGTTGGACGTTCCACAGATAATAAGACACCTCCAAGTAAGCAGATGGGTGAGTGAATGCTCCAGCAAACAAGATAGTGTTTTAAAAGATGCACCTTCTGGGACTTCCCTGGTGGTCCAGTGGATAAGACTCCGCACTCCCAGTGCAAGGGCTCAGGTTCAACCCTTAGTCAGGGAACTAGATCCCACTTACTGCAACTGAGTTTGCATGCTATGTCTAAAGACCCAGCACACTCCAAGGAAGACTTCAGACCCCTAGTGCCACAACTAAGACCTGGAACAGCCAAATAAATAAAAATAAATTAATTTTAAAAAGACGTGCCCCCAGTTAAACCACCTGATGCAAAGAGCTGACTCATTGGAAAAGACCCCCGATGCTGGGAAAGATCAAAGGCAAAAAGAGAAGAGGGCAGCAGAGGATGAGATGGTTAGATAGCACTACTGACTAATTTGGGAGATAGTGAAGAACAGGGGAGCCTGGCGTGCCGCAGTCCATGGGGTTGCAAAGAATCATACTCGACTTAGTGACTGAACAACAACAACCGGTTAAAAGTCCCAGGCGCCAGCTTCGTCTCATGTGGCATGTCTGTGAACAAGCAGTCTTTCAAGTTCTAGCTATCCAATCTCTCGAATCACTCTGGGTCTTACAGCTGCTAGTTTATAGAGATATCTCTCTACTGGAGAGGGCTATTACTAGACCTCCAGAGGTGATTAACACACTTCTAACTGTTCACATCTAAATATATATATATACTTGACATAGACCATTTTTAAAGTCTTTATTGAATTTGTTACAATATTGCTTCTGTTTTATGTTTTGGTTTTTTGGCCACAAGGCATGTGGGATTGGAACTCCCTCACTGGGGATCGAACCCTCACCCTTTGCACTGGAAGGTGAAGTCTTAACCACTAGACTTCTGGGGAAGTCTCTATGCCAAAGTACTTTGAAAAGCTGTTGCAAGGTAATTAAAATCAGCCATTTTAGTTTACTGATTCTCTGGTGTTAGATGACTGAGTGAGGAAAACGGTAGTAAAAACTGCTAAAAATGCAGCCCTTTGTCAGGTACTGATACTCTGCAGGTGCTATCCAAAAGACAGCATGAAGGAGTCCTTTCAGCAATCCTGCCAGAACGCAAGCAGTCTCCTCATTTTACAGATGAGGAAACTGAGGCTCCAAGAGCTTCAGAGTTGATCAAATGCTGTCTGAGTGTCATCATCAGCTCCGAGATCCAGACTCAAGTTTGCCCAGCTCTGCAATCTTCCTTAGATTTACTATATTGGCTGCCCCTTTAAACAAAGACCTTTAGAAATACTCCTTAAAAATCCCCATAATTAATCATGCTTTTTTCATATATCTGTATGCAGTAAGGCACACATCCCTTTGGTAATTCTTACTCTCAAATTAGAAAATTTTAATATTTTATTCTGGGAATCAGTTAAAATCTTATCTGTTCAACCAATTTAGAAGGGATAAGTGAAGTGAAGTGAAGTGAAAGTCGTTTAGTTGTGTCCAACTCTTGGCTACCCCATGGACTATACAGTCCATGGAATTCTCCAGCCAGAATACTGGAGTGAGTAGCTGTTCCCTTCTCCAGGGGATCTTCCCAACCCAGGGATGGAACCCAGGTCTCCCGCATTGCAGGCGGATTCTTTACCAGCTGAGCCGCCAGGGAAGCCCTAAAGGGATAAAGCAAACATCAAATGCTACGTGCTGAGGATCCTGTCTTCACCCCTGGTGGCAGCGGTTTAGTCTCTAAGTCCTGTCCAACTCTTGCAACCCCATGGACTGTGGCCTCCAGGTCCGTGGGATTTCCCAGGCAGGAATACCGGAGTGGGTTGCTAGTTCCTTCTCCAGGAGACCTTCCCAACCCAGGGATTGCACCTGCATCTCCTGCTTGGCAGGTAGGTTCTTTCTTGCAGAGCCACTGGGGAAGCCTGTCTTGGCCCCCGGCTGACTCTGAATGCCAGCAGGGTGGTCCTGAGGCACGTGGGTGGTGACCGGCAGGGGGAGGAGAGGCTACCTGAGCAGATGACCCCGGCATCCTCGTGGTGGCCACAGTTGTGCTCCGACCAGCCCGAGTGGGCGCACTGGCCCAGGTAGCGCTCCGCCCCGGCGCACTGCAGGTTGTCCAGGAAGATGTCTCCAGAACCTGGGCCAAAGTGGGCCTTCCCGAGGGCGGATACGGCCCGACCGCACCCCAGCTGCCGGCACACGACCTCGGCTTCGTTCAGGTCCCACAGGTCGTCGCACACGGTGCCCCAGGCCCCCCGGTGCAGGACCTCCACGCGTCCTGAGCACCGACCTGAGCCGCCCACCAGCCGCAGCTCCGGCCAGTCCCCTGCAGACAGAGAGTGGGTGACCGTAATATAGCCTCCTGGGCGTGTGCTCACTCCCCTGGGGCCAGCTGAGCTCCTCACCCCCACACTACTGCTCGGGATGGAAAACTCAGTAAACGGTCAGTCAGCTAGTCACAAAAGTAAAAAACAAAAGTGTCACTAAAGTGACACAAAAGTTGCTAAAACTGTCAAAACAACATTTAGCCTAAAACATGCATTAAATGAACATCTATTGGGCCAGAGCTATATGCAAATCTGTGTTGGCTAAATGCAGAAAAACAGAGTATCACAGAAAACCACAGTGATTTTGAGTGTGTGTACGTGTTTGTGTGTCCACCTTCAACTTCATAGTAACTCTGGAAGATAAGCCAGCTTTATCTCTGAGGACACTGATAGCTGGAGAAGCATGTCCTAAGTCGCTTCAGTCTTGTTCAGCTCTTTGTGATATCATGGACTACAGCCTGTCCGGCTTCTCTGTCCGTGGGATTTTCCAGACGAGAAGACTGGAGTGGGTTGCTGTTTCCTTCTCCAAGGGATCCTCCTGATCCCGAGATCAAACCTGCATCTCCTACGGCTCCTGCATTGCAGGCAGATTCTTTACTGGTCAGCCACTGGGGATGCTCAGAGAAGCAAAGTGACTTACCCTAAATCCCATGGTCTGGTCAGTAGCTGATCTCAACTCATTTCTCCTGCTTCTGAAATTCACTATTTTTCTTCTCTCTGCTATTCCAGCTCACTGCCCCTGGAATGCCTCTAGCACTCTACTCACTTGGAACAAGTCTATTAGTGATGCAGGTGTGAGGTTAACCATGAGCAGGACAGGCCGTAAAAAGAAAAGGCAGAAGCCCACTAGAGGGTGCTTATAAGTTGGTCAGGCTTTGATGACTCTGAAAGGTGCTGAAAAAAGGAATTCTGCTTGTTCTAGGATGCTAGAGCCAAAAGATCCCAAGAGCTCTGAATGGTCCTGAAAAGTCTGCACAGGGTCAGTGGGCCCGTTGCAAATAGATGAACCACTTGCAGTCAGTCGAGCCTCTGCCTTCGAGGCAGTGACAGATGCAGACATTAACACAGGCACTCAGAGGCAAGGACAGTGGATGAGGAATGTGTGTGTTCCATGGCTTACCCGGTCTTGCTGTCACCACTCTGGGTGTTGCTATTGGGATTGCTGTGGATACAAGAAGACACCTTTGAGTAAAACGGGAGGATGCAGACAAGTCTGAGTTCAGCCTCCACTAAATGCCAAAATTCTGGCTAATTCATTTTCCCTATCGTCCTTATACTCTGTGACCTCTGAAGTCAAATTCTCCTCACAGGTGAGTCTCGATGTTGGCCAGGGCTGTGAGATCCAACAGAAATAATATTCCCTCCTCTGCCCAGCCATGGAAATTTGGCATTTATATTGTGCCATTTTGTGTTAAAATACATTCGCCATCAGTGCCCTTCTGGGGAAAACAGCTCTTTCTTCTGCAAGCTTCTGCTTTTGGCTTTTGCTATTAACTCTCCCTGCATGTGGAGTGTCTGATTAGATGCCCGTCATTGTCTTTGATAAAAACAAGGAATTAAGGAAATCAAATGGATAGTTTATCAATATACAGTACCCTATGGTTAATGTGTATAATTTAGTTCTACTACATTCTTCATACTTGTGTAACTTGTGTAGACAGAATCTCTCAAATAATGTGGGTTTACAAAGGAAATTAGGAAACATATATAAGAGAGGTCAGACTATGACAGCAAATACACCAGGAGCGGGGACAGGGGAATAAATATGAACGTGGAATTAAGATTAAGTAATGTCAGTAAAGGACTTCCCTGGTGGCTCAGATGGTAAAGCGTCTGCCTGCAATGTGGGAGACCCGGGTTCGATCCCTGGGTCTGGAAGATCCCCTGGAGAAGGCAGTGGCAACCCACTTCAGTACTCTTGCCTGGAAAAGTCCATGGACTATAAAGGTGACTCACTGATTAGATGTGGGGTCTGGGAAACAGCATCTGCAAATACAAGAGAATCATCATCAGTAACTGTTCAATGCCAATCTCAGTGACTTCCCCCGGCCCACTTTGTGACAGAGTGTCTCCTTGTGTTTAACAGCATGGTCCCCGAGCTCGCTCAGTGAGTTCCTCCGGCACTTGCTAAGATTACAGACTCATGAGCAGCTTCCTGGACACGGGGGATGCTAGAACTCTTCACCAGTTCAGACTCTTTCCTCTTCGTGGTAAACAGTACAGGACCCATCGCTGCATGTCCTCAGGACACCTCCTCTGTCCATGGGATTCTCCAGGCAAGAACACTGGAGTGAGTTGCCATGCCCTTCTCCAGGGGATCCTTCCCACCTAGGGATCGAACTCTCATCTCTTACGTCTTCGGAATTGGCAGGTGGGTTCTTTACCGCTAACGCCACTGTGTTTTATTTGTCCTCGAATTGTGTCACATGTGTTTGTCTTGAATTCCTTTTAGATTGTACATGAGACTCCCTTAGGCTGGGATCAGACCTTCTGTAGATACCCACCTAGTACTCAGAGTAATTTCAGCAGTGGCTTCCTAGCGGGCTGCCTGCCATCAGATGGTTACATGAGAAAGAACAGCCTGTGATGAGGCTGCCAGTTACTGAGCATTTATCACGGGCATCACTGTGCAGAGGGCTCTACTTGCGTCTTTTTCCGGGAACACTCGCAGAAAACCTAGGAAGTAAGGCTCTCTTCTCCCCATTACATAGGGACAGGACCGGGGCGTGGAGAGGCTGAGTCTCTCACCTGAAATCTCAGAGTCCCCAGGCAGACAGCCCAGCTCCAGATCGCTTGCCCTTAACCACCCTTTCTTACCTTTGGCTTCGGAGTAATAATACGCGACGAAGTTCTTCCCTATGTTGTTGTAGCTTCGGTAGTACACGAGCGTCAGCGAGCTGGAGGACGAGGAGTAGGTGAGATAGGTGCCAGAGCAGGTCTTCCCCAGGGACTTTGCTGAGGATGGAGGGCCGTCCAGGACTTCAAAATACTCATTGGTGCAGTCCAGGCTGGGGAAGCAAGCACCGTGGGAGCCTCAGTCTCCCCCCACCTCAGTGGATCTCAGAGTCTGCTGTGAGGCAGACTATTCTGCTGCTATCAAGAGGCTGGGGCAAGATCAAAAGGCTGTCATCATTCACACGTTGTGTGTGTGTGTGTGTGTGTGTGTGTGTGTGTGTGTGTGAGTCCCTCGGTCGTGTCTAACTCTTTGCCACTCCATGGACTCTAGCCGGCCAGGCTTCTCTGTCCATGGAATTCTCCAGGCAAGAATACTGGAGTGGGTAGACATTCCCTTCTCCAGGGGATCTTCTGACCCAGGGATCGAACCCAAGTCTCTTGCATTGCAGGCAGATTCTTTACTTTCTGAACCAGCAGGGTGGGCCCAAACATAGCAGATTGCCTTTACCCCATTTTTTTCTGAGAGCCATTGCCTTTGGGGATGGGATTTTAACTAGAAGAGGGAAGAAAAGCCTGGTGCAGTAAGTGTAACCCTGATGAGGCCTTGAGCACCCTGAGGCCACAGGTACCTTGAAACCTGGGCCCAGGTGCAGGGCCAGCCAATGGGCAGCCACTAGGATGTGGCTTCAGGGTCCAAACAAGCTACGTCCAGGCTTTCACCTCCCTGAGAGGGAGGTGCACCACCAAATCAGCTCAGCCGGCTTTGTGGAAGTCATCTGATTGTGCTGTTCTTTATTGTTAAGTTCTGTGCAGAAGACGGGAATCAGAGAACCATTTGCACATCTCAGCCTGATGAGATGTCTGTTCCAAGTCATATTTTGATGAAGCAAAAGTCAAGAGCAATAAATAATTTGTTTCTGAAGGTTAGTTTCTGTAAGACATTCACCTATGAATGATAGAAACCTTGACAGTTTACAATATTAAAATTTAAACTTTCCTGTTTTATTAGGTCTGAGGGTTCCATAGAATCTGCATCTTTAACCAGCAAGCTGAAATACATACATACATACTATCAAGCTCTGTCTCTCAAACCCCATCACACACACACACACCCCTATACAAAGCATACAAGGTGAATTTCATTTTAGCTACAAATTCATGGGCACAAAAATCAATCATATTTCTAACAAACATGTAGAAACCAAAATTATAAAACAGTATTATTTACAATCACTCCAAAAGAGAAAAGAAAAAAGAAACACCAACATACACATCTAACAAAACATATATAAGACCTGTTTGCTAAAAATGACAGCCAATACAAAATTAATGGATATCACCTGATGCAAAGAGCCAACTCATTAGAAAAGACCCTGATTCTGGGAAAGATTGAAGGCAGGAGGAGAAGGGGACGACAGAGGATGAGATGGTTGGATGGCCTCACTGACTCAGTGGACATGAGTTTAAGCAAGCTCCAGGAGTTGGTGATGGACAGGGAAGCCTGGCATGCTGCAGTCCATGGGGTCACAAAGAGACAGATATGATTGAACAAAAACAACAAAAATACAAAAAATAACAGCAAATGCTGGCTCGGATATGGAGAAATTAGATCTGTCATATAGTGTTGGAAGGAATGCAAAATGGCAGTCACTCTGGAAAATAGTTTGATATGTTCTTTAAAAGCTAAAAATGTACATACTACACAACCTAGCAATTGATTCTCAATCATCAATCTCAGAGAAATGAAAACTTAAGTTCATGCAAAAACCTGCATATGAATGCTCATAGAAGCTTTATATATAACAGAGGGGCTAGGAACAGCCCAAATGTCCTTCACTGGAAGAAATAGTTGTACAAACTCTGGTTTCCACACAATGGAAACCTTCTCAGCAATGACAAGGAACAAATTCTTGATAGACAACAGCCTCGATGGAGCTCAAGGGCCTTAAGCTGAGTGAGAAAAAGTGAATCTCAAAAGAATATATACTGCATGACTCCATAGATTGAATGGTCTCAAAATATACAGATAGCTGGAAAATAGTTTAGTGGCTGCCAGGGACAGGGGCTGGGGTGGCTGTAAAAATGAAGGATAAAGTAGTTACCC